GAAGTGCTCTACCGCTGAGCTAAGGAGGCGCGATGCTGAGTGAGCTCAGCATTGTATACATAAGCACTCACGACTTTCACCACGATTCGGCGCGCACTTTGTTGTCTTCTCGGTGCACACAATTTGGCCCAGGTTGGCCGACAGCACGCTGTCCTCATTGCTGTTGCGTGAAGCCCTGGACGAAACGAATGTGGATTGTGCCTTGCTATTTACATGTGTCACGAAAAGAAGCGCCATCTAATCGGCGCGGTAGAGCACGATGGCGGATCGGCTGGGGAGGTAGAGCTGCACAAAGTTTCGACGACCGTTCCACTCCATGTCGGTAGTGAACCACTCTGTGTTGTGGTCGATCCTTCCATGGCCACCGAGCTCCTTTGCATCGGTGTCGAGCAGCACCTTGTACTTTCCTGGCACATCCACGCCGATCCTGTAGTCGGTGTAGGAGTTGTTGGCGTGCCAGTTGAACACGAACAGCAGGCCGGCACGCTCGAATGCCACGACGCGGTCCGACTCGTGCTTGAGCGAGATGTACGCCTGCGAGCTCGCAAGCCACTTGTACTTGCCCTCGGCATTGTTCATGGCGGCGTCGAATGCGTACAGGTACTGATACCTGAGCAGGCGGTCGTCAACGAGGTTGAACTGGCGACGCGCGTAGTGGAACGAGTTGCCGTTGCCCTCGCGCGGGAAGTCGAGCCACTCGGGGTGACCGAACTCGTTGCCGATAAAGTTGAGGTAGCCCTCGCCGCCGAGCGCATGTGTGATGAGACGGATCATCTTGTGGTACGCCAGGCCGCGGTCGATGATGGCGGTGCGCTCGGTGAGGTCCGACATGTTGGTGTACATCTCCTTGTCCATGAGCCAGAAGGCAAGCGTCTTGTCGCCGACGAGCGCCTGGTCGTGGGACTCGGCATAGGCGATCGACTTTTCCAGATGACGACGATTGGTGAGCGTGAAGCAGATGTTGCCAAAGTCCCAGTCCTCGTCCGCCTTTTCCTTGAGCAGCTTGATCCACATGTCTGGCACGGCCATCGAGAGGCGGTAGTCGAAGCCAACACCGCCCTCCGAGACGGGTCGGCACAGCGCAGGCATGCCCGAGACGTCCTCGGCGATGGTGATGGCGTTGGGGTTATACTTGTGGATCATGTCGTTGGCGAGCATGAGATAGACGACGGCCTCGACGTCGACGGAAGGGCCAAAGTACTCATGGTAGCCGCCGCTGAATCCGGTGCCGATGCCGTGGTGCGTGTAGAGCATGGAGGTGACGCCGTCGAAGCGGAATCCGTCGAATCCGTACTCCTCCATCCAGAAAAGGCAGTTGCTGAGGAGGAAGCGCAGCACCTCGTGGTGGCCGTAGTTGAACAGGCGCGAGTCCCAGAGCTCGTGCCTGCCCTTGGCGCCCTCGTGGAAGTAGAGGTGGTCGGTGCCGTCAAACATGTTGAGGCCGTCGAGCACATTCTTGCACGCGTGCGAGTGGACAATGTCGAGGAGTACGGTGATACCCATGGAATGCGCAACGTCGATGAGCTCCTTGAGGTCCTCGGGGTTGCCGTACCTGCTGCTGGCGGCAAAGAAGTTGGTGACCTGGTAGCCAAACGAGGCGTAGTAGGCGTGCTCCTGGATGGCCATGAGCTGGATGGTGTTGTAGCCGAGCTCCTTGATACGCGGCAGGACGTTCTTTGTGAATTCTTTGAACTGGCCGACGCGCGCCTCGGGAGTGGCGATGCCGACGTGTGCCTCGTAGACCTTGATGTTATCGGGCTTGGGAGGCTTGGGGTTCTTGATGGTGTAGCGCTCCTCCTTGGGCGGGTTCCAGAAGCGCGCATCGTACACGGGCGAAACGTCCAGATCCTGCGTGACGCGGAGGATCCATGCTGGCAGACGCTCGATCCGCTCGCCCGAGGGCAGGAGCATGGAGATCTTGAGCTTGGAGTCATGTGGTATGGCGCAGGTGGCATTGGCAAGCGGAGGGATGGTGATGTGCCACTTGCCGTAGTCGTCCTTGGACATCTTGTGCGAGTCGCGCGACCAGTTGTTAAAGTCGCCGATGAGCGCCGCCTCGACGGCGTTGGGCGCCCATTCGGTGTATGTGACGGCTTGTGTCTTGGGATCCACCTGGAAGCCCATGTTGCGGTAGGAGCCCGAGAAAGCCTCGAGGCCGCCCTCGGAGGCACTGATCTTGCTCTTCCAGTCTTGGTAGAGCGCGTATCGCTCTCGCAGCGCGGGCGCGAAGGGCTCGAGCCACGGATCGCCGCCGATGACGCCGGTGCCATCGGTAGCCTTGGTGTAGTCGGGCGGCGCCGCGACGGACGAGGATGAAGCGGCTGACATGCTGTGAATCGCGAGACCTGACGGGTTCTGGTGGTGAGGTCTTGGGAAAGAGTGGACAGATGCGAAAGCAGGACTTGATTATAAGGGCCAACTTCTGCGAGGAACGAGTTCGTTCGAGTTGCCACCGTCGGGCGAGCCGAGTGAGGTGCAGCGAGGCGAAGCGAAGAATCGCGGTCGGTTGGCTGGGTGGAGGAGCCGAGTGTTGGATGTGGAAATTGTTGCGGCAAAAAGCGAGCTCGTGCATCTGCGTTGGCTCGTTGGCTCGTGCTCGAGCTGGTGATTGATTGTGCATTTGGGCCCCCGCATCCAGCCGGACACACTCTTACTCTCTCCCCTTCGCAAATTCGAAACGCGACTGCCCGCTCGCCACCCTGGCTTTGGCCTGGTCTGGCCCGGCCTGTCGAGAAGAAATCGAACCCTGCGTTGCTCCTCTTCCCGCCCCTCCCCTGCACCCCACGCTGAGCATCCACGCCCTCGCCCGCCCTTTTTTGTCCTGCGAAGCGAGCCCTGCGCCAGACGACGGCGAAACTATAGGAATCCTCGCAATCCGATAGCAGCAACACTTGCCAGTCGCCGCCACGCGTGACCAGTGCCTGAAACTCTGTCCACCTCGCGTCGGAAGGAATTCACCGAATGGGCGCCTTTTGCCTGACCCGGACCGCGTTGGTCGACAGGGCCTAATCGATCTCGCCACCTGCCGCATCCCGACGCCTCGCTCGGTTGCGGTTGCCCTCGTCGCTTTGAACATGCTTCGTTGCTCGGCACGCGCTCTGTCCGAAACTCGCCCGAGCGCTTCGACACCTGCTCGCAAGTCCAGCTGACGTCTTTCCTCGCCTTTTACGCACACGATTGCCAGAGGATCAAGCTGCCTCCCAGCTGCGCCAAAATCACATCCCTGGACAATCGGCCGCACTTTGATTGTAGCTACAAGTTTGTTCCGCCCTAACATCCCTCGCCTCCTTAGCTCAGCGGTAGAGCACTTC